ACCTGCTTGCTTGCTATAGACTATTTCTCCTCTGTGACGCCCCTCTGCCATCCCACCCTGCCTTGGAGCCAGCCAACTATGGACTGAAACCTCTACAAACTGTGAGCTGCTTTGCTGTGCTGCCATGGGCTCCAAGCAACAAGACACACTGACTATGGACTGAAACCTCTGGAACTAGAAGCAATAATGAAGAGGAAAGCAGCGGAGCAGCCGCCCACCCCCGGCGACCCTGGCCAAAAGTATGCAACCCAGGGTAACTACGACTAGAAATCCCAGAATAGCAGGTGTGTGTGTGAGGCCTAGGGAAGAACATCAGTTAGGATAAGCAGGAAGACTGAGGGCTGCAGAAGGGAGAACTCCAGGAAAAGAGGAGGAAAATAAACTTTGTAGCATCACATCAACTGGCAGATTTGAATCTGTGTCACTGTAAAACTCCTCATAACGTTGATTCTCTCCTATGGCATATTATAAAACTTCAAAAGTGAGTGGTGTTTTGCTGAACCAAAGAAAGCAGAGAAGACTTCAAAGAGGAAGAAAGCGCAAAGCAATTACTCAGAGGATGTAGATGCTTTTGTCTGGAAACAACAAGAAGAATGGAGAGTGGAGAAGAAAGAGGGAATTGCAAATAAAGAAATGGAGAAACATAAAAGTCTCATGCAGAATCTGAAATGCAGATGCAAGCTGAGAGCAGATGAGGAGGGCTGAGGTCCTAAAACAAGGTGTTTGGCATGTATTCCCCAGATCACGGAGGGGGTGACAGTTGTATAGGTGGAAGGACTGCTGGAAACATAGTTCTAAGGCAGCAGGAGAGCATATGGTGTGGTGGCACAAGACAAGGAGCAGTGGAGGACAGAGGTGGAAATGCAGCTCATGAAGAATGAACAGTCACACGCAGAGACACTGGGCAAAGATACATACTGTATGTGCTTCCACTGAACAGTTCCTGGGATGATACACAATGCAAATAGCTCAATAAAACTATAAAACTTCACTGAGTTGAGCAGAGATTGGGAGTCTATTGGTAAAAACAGTGTAAATCAGAAAGCTATATAGAATAGCATCCCTGAAGAACACTAATGGACATTCAAATCTTTACATGATCAGGTCCTTAGAATTCTTTTACTAACTAGATAAGTTAGTAAAAGTTTTGTAAATAGCATGTTAATTGTACATGGCTACTTCTCTAATGCATTAGAGTGCTTGATGATATTTCATCTTCATATGACCCTTAATTTCAATTAAATAAGTCACCTTCAGTGTGAAGGCATGTTAATGGATTCAAGGTAAATTTTAGCCAGCATCATATTATAGCATTCAGTAATTGGTATACTTAATATTTTTAAAATGTTTGACAGAAGCAAGGTCTGAATTATCCCCACTTGTAATGTTTTAAGAGAATCCAGACGCTAAACTTCTCTAAATGCCTCCTCTTTTCAATTCTGAGGAGACTTATCTGGGGAAGCTTGTTAAGACGTATTTCCTGTAAAAGATAGTATTTTATATAAATGAAACAGCTTCTTTTTTTTTTTTTTTTTTAAGAAGAACAGAGTTACCAAGTACAGTTACCCATCTACTCTGGATATCCTGAGAAATGTGTGTTCAGAGTTTGTATACATTGTAGAGCATGTGTACACAAACTAAGACAGACAAGACATCACCGGGAGACAGAGTAACGCGATGACTGTTACATATGTGGTCTGTCAACCAAATGCTGTACTGCAGAGCATGACTGCAGTTATAGAGGTGAACACAAGGTCCTAGGCTTGGGGTATGTGCTTCTCTGTTTGTGTGCATGTACGTATCAGAGAGAGAGAGAGAGAGAGAGAGAGAGAGAGAGAGAGAGAGAGAGACCGATACAAGAGCCAGATGTAGAAGGGCAGGTAGGCCCATGCCAGGAAGCAGTGTCCTCAACAAATTAATATGGAGGTGTAAGAAGAGAGCAGCTGAATGGCAGTCTGGACTCCTGCAGCATGGAGGGTGTGCTGAAGGGCAGGCAGACTTGTGTGTCTTTTGGAGCTGTGGAACAAAGGACAAGATCCAGAAGAGAGAAAAACAGATAGGGTCAAGGCTCAAACTCGAGGTGGGATGGCCAGGTCTTGGTGACCATGTGTCCTGGTGTGAAGAGCTTGTGGAGAGGTAGTATTGCTTGCTAAAAGCAGGGACACAGGGAGAGGACAGCTTTCATGAGATACACTGGTGGGTGCCCATCAGCAATCCAGCAGCAAAGTGTTGGGGGCTGACTCCTGGGAGTGAGAACCTGAGCAGAGATAAAACTGTCAGTCTCCAAGGTGACCTTTTATGAATGCTGCTTCTGAGGACTTGGGAAGGGGAGACTTTGGATCAACAACTGCCATGTGCTGGGCATAGAGCAATAAGGAAAAGCGCTGTTTTTGATGAGTGTATCCTGCAGTAGGAGCAACAGACAAGAAAGAAGAACAGGCACAGATAAATGAAATCTCCCCAGGCCATGGCGGGTGGGGCTGGTTCAGTCAGGTTTCTGCTGGTTTCTGTCTCGGAGGGACATGTCTCCGCCTCTTCTGGAGGTGGCTGCTTGCTCTCCCTGACCGCCTGGAGCTGAGCCATGTGGCACATAGCTGGAATACCTGCTGGCTTCCTCCAGCTTCCAGACATAGTGTGAGCTGCTGTCTCTTACAAGGAGGAGCCCTTAACACACCCATGAGTGCTTCTGGATTCCTCAGGATAAAAGCCTGAAGCAAACACAGTGAGGGCACCCTAACCTGTGTCCAGATGTGTGGTTGTCAGTAAATGCAACACTACTGACCAGGCCCTTCCTGTAATGTAAGACTCCACCACAGGATTACTTCATCTGGGGAATAATCAGACTTCAAAATACAGGTGGAGTGTCTGGAGAACCCTTCTTGCTTTTTAAGTAACTTGTTAGATCTGTCAGACCACAGTATTTGTAAGAAATACCTGGGAGGCCAAGCCTAGATGAGATCTGTGTGGAATACAGATGTATTTTGATTGACTTTATTAGAGAAAATATTAAATCTTATTTAGTTGTACCATCTTAAATTTAAATCATGAACTTTTAATTTTTCAGCCCAGAATGATTCATCAAGATAGGATAAATGCTATGGTATGATGTTAAGTGAAAAAAGCAGAATATAAATATATATTCATGTTATGATCAAAATTCTGTAGAATTTGTCCATATATGAACAAGACTTGCACACGCAAACAAGAACATTAATGAGAAAAATTTTCTCTTTGCATTCTAGAGGAAACTAAGACAGAAAAATAATTGCAGAAAAGGAAACTTAACAACTTATTAAAAGGTTACCTAGGGCTGGGGATTTAGCTCAGTGGCTCTGTGCCTGCCTGGCAAGTGTGAGGTCCTGAGTTCGATCCCTGATACCCCCCCTCCCCGCATCGCCAAACTTTACCTAGTTAAGAAGTTCATGATGGAAAAACCCTGGTACAAACTACACTTTTTGAAAAGATGGTGTTGATTATTTAGTAAACAGCAGCATAGGGTTTTCTGTGTCTTTAGCAAAGAGAAAGTAAGCCAGCCTCCCTTCAACTATGTCACCAACACGACAGATACTGATTTCTTTGCTGGAACACACTTGTGAGACCCCATGATGTCAGGAGGTGCTGGGAACAGATGAAGTAGAATCCTACCAAAAGGAGGAGCCAACATAAAGGAAAGACTCTTTGGAAATAGAGAACTGTATTTATCAAAGCCCAGGCTGCACTGTGCCTATAAATTCTTCATTCCTTGAGTCAGTATAGATATGACATAGTCCAGAAACAAAATTCTCAGATACTACCTCACATGTAAGAAAATACGAGTGTTGCCCACCAAGCTGCTGACAGCTGAGGAACACTGTATCCCGCATACCAAATTATCCATTTACATTGAAGGAGTCTCCTTGTGGAGACTTGGTCAATCTTCAGGAAACCACTAGTCAGATACAAACTCTTACAAAAACTCCTAAGGCTAGAATTTAGAACCAAGAGCTGGATAAGCTCCTAAGACAACAAAGAAAACCAACCTCTATGACTAGGCCATTTCCCCACCCTGTTCCACTTTATAGATGAGGAAAAAGATCTAAAAAGAAAGGAAGATGATCAAGACCGCATAACAAGCCCATGGTCAGAACACGTACAGATAGAAAGCAGATTTGTTCCTGCTTTGCTATGGTAGCTCTAGTAATACCAATGATGTTCAGAGGCAAACATGCAACTCCAACAGGTGGGGATGGCAGGGTGGTAGTAATTTGATTTTCTTGTTAACAAAGGAAGACATCTATGTAATTTTCTTAATTTTCTGATCAGTCTCTCCAGAACTGAGATGGGGCTCAGGTGATCATGTCTGTCACCTTGCACAGATTCTAGGTCACTGGGGAGCATAAGAATGACAAACAGGACCAGTGGGCTCAGGCACTCTGAAATCTGTCCCACTTTTCTAAAATAAGAACTTGGAAGTCACTGTCTCTTAGAATGATTAACAAACATTTCTTAAGTTTTAACTGTTTAGTTCTTTTAAAAGAAAAAATAGCCCTCATGCTTACTGCTAAAAGGAGTGTCAGTTTTAACCCTTAACGGAAAATCTTGTCCTGAGGTTATTAATCCTGGAAAAGCCAAGAAGGGAGTGAGGCATTCCAGGTGTCCCATCAGTGACATTCCTGAAGCCCTGAAGGTGGCATCAGTAGCTCAAGAGTGCTTTGGACAGTGGCACACACACATCTCTGCTAAGTGCGGCACTTTGCAATGTAGCTCTGAAAATTTGGGCTTCTGTATTTACAAAGCATCAACTAGAGATCATGGGATTTATTACTCTAATAGATGCAATGAATTTCTATCCCTAAAAGTCTGGGCTTGGAGTATTTGTGTTCCCAAGACTTGCTGCTTTCCTGGGGTAAGCTGCTCTGAGGGCCCATTCCCCTAAGGAAAGCTGAGAAGAACAAGCCTGAGCACCAGCATCTCAGCAGACAAGGTGCCCTGCAAGTGGGCTTACCAGGGTCCATGCTTACCTGGAACATCAATCAATCTCTTGTAGACATTCAAGAAGGCTGCCTCAGCTTCTTTGCTTCTTTTACTCAGTGCATCAATCTGAAAGGGAAAGAAAGAAAGAAGAAAAACAGCTCAAAATTTGTTGAGAAGCAATTTAAAAATCTATATAGTATCTATTGAGTTCCCACAGCAAATTCAAATGTGATCTCCCTCACAGATGCTTGACTATTGGGCTGTTAACCTCTTAGAAGTGCCCACCAATATAGCAGAGGGACCACTCGTGTGGACCCAGGTCCTAGTAAGGACCTGCTAGTGAGGTAAGGGCAGGGCTCACCAAGCTGAGAAGTGACGGCTAAGGGGGGCCTTTCACAGTGAACTCTTCCCGGTCTCTGTCTTCCTGGTCCAGGTGCTGAGTCAGGCAGAGCTGAGGGTAAGGCAGGGAGACACAGTACCTACCTAGGAGCTCTGGTCTGGTGGGTAAACAGGTAAGCCAACAAGCTATTAAATCTTAACTGGGAGTGTGCTAAGCAGCTACCATGGAACATGGAGGAAGGGACAGGAAGGGAGGCTGGGACCTTTGAGCAGAGTCCTCAAGAGCAGTGCACTAGGGTGGACAGGTAAGCTGCTATATATGTAAGAGGAAGAACATATCTGGAGCAAAGTTCTTAAGTCTGGGAGTTTGGAGATCCTCTCTAAGAATTTTATAAATGCCAAGGACCTCCTCCTAGAATTTTCTCTCATGTATTCTATTTTAAGACCCTCACATATCCACTTATGTTTTACACATGGACTCCTGGTTAAGAACCCACAGATGAAACTGTAACATGCCATGGAATATAAGGGATCAGTAAGAGTTCAATGGAAGGAACACAGATATACATGCAGGAGCTATGGAAGTCAAGACAGGGCAGGTGAGAAGGGTCAGATCACAAGAGGCCATCGGAGTACATAAAGCAGATTAATTATCTGTGAATTGGTCAGTGACCACTTCACAGGAGCACAGGAGGTGGCAGAGAGTAGGATATGGCTCAGATGGTGCTGGCCTTGTCCAGGAGGGCAATGTGAAGGGAAGGGGCTACTCAGAGAATCTTGGAATGCCCAAGCCAATGTGAGGCACAGATGAGTTAAGGACTTGCCTGAGTTTCCAGCCTGGGCAAAAGATGGAGGCTGTGACTGTGGCTAGGGATTGTCTATCTCATGAACTGAGCCAGCTCATTTCTCCCAGTGTAAATGTCCTCTTCTCAAGGAAAGGTGAGGTGTGAAAACCCTCAAGCAAACTGGAAATATGTCCAAAGAGTCTCCAATTTCGGATTCTCTCATTCCAGGATTTAGCTCACATCACACAATAGCTAAGACAATAGATCACTTTTTCCATCTGCACTGTGCAAGATTTTACATGCATCCCATTCACACTGGCTCAGGAAAAGGACACAAAATTATATATTTCTCCTGTCCCCTTGCTCTCAGTCTCCAATGTTATTAAGGAGGCAAAGGATGCGGCCTAATTACAGGGTCTCTCACCTGAGCCACCCCACAATTTGTTAAGGGCTGAGAGGCCATGTGACCAAGCAGAGGAACCACCTAGGATGGGGAAGCACTCAGGAGAAGAAGCTGTGGATTGCTTTTTTTCCATTTTTTTTTTTTTTGGTACCGGGGATTGAACTCTGGACCTTGCACTTACAAGGCAGGCGGCAGAATCACTGAGCTAAATCCCTGGCCCTGGATTGCTGATTCTTAATGAGCTGGGCTCCAAAATCCTAATCTGATGTCAGCTTTTCAGAATTCAGATCTCCCCATTATAAAATAAGACCGTCATTTAAGTGTTCTGAATAATCCACAAGGACTATTAACGCAAGACAGTTCTTTTAAAAATTTCTCCTTTCTACTCCCTGATCATTAACAATACATTTTCAGAAGTATGAAACATTTAGAAAAGAAAGTTAAATTTGTAAATTCTGCCATGCACCAGGGGAAGTCATACTGTCTGGTCTGTATTTCTCTTCATTTTTTTTTTTAATTAAGAAAATAGTTGAATGGAATGTAGGCACATAGGAAAACTAGAGATAAAGTGTCTAGGGCTGTGTGGGAAATGGGATGGATGGAGGAGGCTAGCTAAGGGGGTGTGTGGGATTCTTTTTGGGGTGATGAATATGTCCTACATTGTTATGGTGAAGGTCATCACATAATGAATACACAGAAAGTCAATAAACTGCAGATTTTAAAAGGGTGAATTATATGGTATGTGAATTCTATCTCAATAAAGCTATTTAAAATGTGTGTGCATATATTGGAAATCAAACTATACATAAAACTTTACACTGTGTTTTCTTTCGCTAAGATATTTATCTTTCTCAATAGCTGTTATAAATTTTGGGAAATGTCTTATCAACACAAGTTCAACTGCATTTAACAACCACATACATAGAGGTCTGGGGTAATATGGGACTCGGGGGGTTGCCTTCAGATGTCTGGAACATTCCGAGTACACTTGCCTACTCTCATGCTTCCTGCCAGGCACCCACCTAAAGGCTTTCTGATTTGCTCAGGTTTGGCCTAGAGAGGGTCTTACACTTCCCAGGTGTCCCCCTGAAGGTATAAAGGTGGTCTTTATGGTGGGTAAAGGATAGATCTGGAAGCTTGCAAACACTGTCCGCATTCCTGTGAGCATGGGTACATGGGGGTGGTGGCTGATAATCGACATTATCACACTGGCCTAGGGGATACTAATAGGTTGAATTGTGACTTGCAAAAGATACTGGAGTCCTAAAATTCAACAGCTGTGAATATGACCTTCTTTAAAGATAAGGTCTTTAGGGGTGATCAAACTGGGATGAGGTCATTACTGTGGGCCCTAATCCATCATTTTATAAAAAGGGGAAACTGGGACAGAGAGCAACATGTACAGAGAGGGAAGGTCATGGCAAAAACGAAGGTGGAGAGCTGGGGATTTAGCTCAGTGGTGCTGCTGCCTGCCTCGCATGCTCAAGGTCCCGAGTTTGATCCCTGGTACAAAAAAAAAAAAAAAAAAAAAAAAGAAGGTAGAGATCAGGATGACCCATCTACATGCAAGGAATTCTGGAGACTGCTAGCAATTACCAGGTGCTAAGAAAGGACCCTGGGACAGATTCTCCCTCACAACCCACAGAAGTACAGTATCTGGTGCTGGTCACCCCTTAATGTCAGCCTTCCATCTGCTAGGATTTGAGACGATCATTTCTGGTCTTTAAGCCATACAGGTTGTAGTACTTTGTTATGACAAGCCCAGGGAAATTAATTCAGGGACCATGATTCTGAGCCCTTTTCCTTAAATGCAAGGAAGTTTAGATTCAATCCAGAGAGGATGAGGACAAGATATTGAGTTTAATTAATTCATTAAGGAATTAGAGTATGAAGTTTCTTAAGAGATGCTGATTATTCATTCTATATGTGGCTGAGTTTCTAACCTTTCTGCCTCCTTATAAGACTTTCAAAAACACCTGGAACAATCTGGCTTCAGAAACTTTGACATTTGGCTCCTTTCACAGCTACAAGATAGTCCGATATGCCTTCTGGTCTATCTCCCTTTCCCAGCTCATCTTTCCTGTGGTGGTTTTTCTTTCTCTGCTGACACCTGAGAATTGAGTCTGTGACTTCCTGTTTCCTGGCTTCTGGTTACTTGGAATAGCGTTTGAAGCCATCTCAGAAGACCTGCCTATGCTCTGAGACCAAGCACAAGCTCCACTTTTCCAGACCTAGCACCAGGTTCTCTGAGGCTGGTAGGGTTGAGGCGGGGGCACCCAGACACCACAGCCACCTAACTGGCTCTGAATGCCAGCTCCATGAGATGACAGCACCTATCTGCCAGTGCTGTGTAAGCAGATAAGCGAACACAAGGGACATGCTCAGTGACCAGCACAACAAGGTGCCACCTGACATTGACTTTGCTCTCTGGGAGAGCTTTCCTTTAGGTGTCCATGCAGCTACCTCCCAGGAAGAGGGCAGGACCCTCCCATGTGCCCCTCAGCATTCCCAGAGGGAAGTGGGAGACTTCCCTCCTTGCCTGCTTCCACAGTGCTGGGCTCACCTGCTGCATGCTAGAGGGGCGGCCGAGGTGGAAACTCCTGATAAAGGGAAGGTTTGTGGAAAAGGTTCAGGGCAAGGACCAAAGGCAGAGTGTGGAGTTAGGATATACAGTGGCTCCTTCACATGCATGGGTGAACCTAGGGTAGAGATTCTCCCTACAAGTGTCAAGGACAGATATGCTGCCATAAGGACACTCAGGGTACACCAAGGGGAAAACCCATTCTAAGAGCTCTAAGAGACCAGCTTCCTTTTCAGGTTCACCTCTGGCCACTCCCCAACTCAGGCTACACCCAGTCACTCCCTGTTCCCTGAAAGCTGGAGCAATTTCCACTCAGCCTGGAAGGCGCCTACTTGGAATGTTCCCTGATCCTGGGGCTCAGCGAGGATCCACCTCCCAGCTTCAGCCACTCCCACTACCCTGAGGAATTGTCCCCAAGTGCCTGGACCTCAGACAGGGGCTCTCCCCTCCAGGAGATTCCAAATTCCTTGAAAGTCCACACATGCTGTAGGCTCCATTGTCTTCTCCTTCCCAGGGACTTGCACACAGTAGGTACTAACATACTCTAAATATGTGAATAAAATCCCACCTCTGCTGGCCAACTGTCTCATCTGCAAAAGTGAGCCGATAGCTAAGGAGATGTTTCAAATCTTTTATGAAAATGTGTAATATGCAAAGTGCTCTCTGTGTTGTAAGCATTTGTTCTGTGTGCTATGACAGGATAACAGCTCAGGAGCGTCACCATTCCCAGTGCACACCCCAGGTGATCTTGAGGTGTCTCCGCCTGGTCTTTTGCCACTGAGATGCCCAGCATATTCTATTTCACGGTGCTAGAATTTTTTTTTTTTTTTTTTTTTTTTTGGTACTGGGGATCGAACTCAGGACCTGACCTTTGCAAAGCAGATGGCAGCACCACTGAGCTAAATCCCCAGCTCACAGTGCTAGAATTTAACATTACTTTCATAATGCTGAGTTTTATCAATAGGAATTAAAGACAAATGTATATATGAAGGTATTTTACTTGAAATCTCAGTCTTTG